GGGAAAAAAAGTCACCTTCACAGAAGCAGTGGGGAGAGTGTTCCCAGACAGATGGAGTGGGATGCGAATGCTCAGCTCAGGAAGTGAGTCCTGAGCAGGAAGAACACAGCTGCCTTCACACCCAAGGCACTTAGGTGAGTCACCAGAACACCAGCACAAGTGATCACAGCGAGAACACAGCATCTCCTATGTGCTCAACGCTTTACTCAAAGATCATCCTTTTAATATGTTGGCCTATTTCCTTCCAGTCTTTCATCTATGCATGTTTAGTACACATACAAAAATTTCAGGGGAAAATCAGATTGATACAGTACATATAATTTTGTATGTACTTTTTTTACTCAGCGTTTTCCCATGAGCATTTTCACAGGTCATTATGCAGCAGCAGCGGAACTGCAGCAATAAGAGCGAAGACTTGAGTTGTGGTTACGAACGTGGGATGTGAAGTCAAGTGTTCTGTGTCTGAGTCCCAGCTCACGACTCACCAGCTGTGTGACCTTGGGTAAGTTACTGGTCCTCTCTCTGCTCCCATTTTCTCATCTGTAAGTTAGTGTGAGTTGCTATTTACTAAGCTATCTGCCAGGCACTGTGCTAAAAACTTGAATAATCCCATTTGATTTTCACAAAACCCCTATGGATTACATGTGTTATTGGCCTTATTTTACAGACGAGAGAACTGGGCCTTAGAAAGAATGTGAAGTGATTTGCCCCAAATCACACGGCCGCTGCTGGTGCTTCGACTTGAAGGCAGATGTGTCTGCAAAACCTGCGCACTTGATGCCACGCTCTTCTTCCATACGTTTGAACAGGCTCAGAGTACGCACAGACTGTGAAGCTGACCACGAGAGGCCCCGAGTGCTGCACGTCTCCAATTATTTCCTATCACACACAGCCCAGGAAGAACGTCTTTGCCCATCAAACTCTGTGTGCACCTCAGGTCGTGCCTGCAGGGTGGTTACTCTGAAGTGGACTCACTGAGTTGAAAGGTGTGAACATTTTAAGGCTCTTAATCCATGTTGGCAAACTGCTTTCCAGAAGCGTGAAACCATTTACAAACCCAGTGGCAGTTTAGCAGCGTAAAACTGATTTATTCTGTTATTCACCTATTTAAATGCTTTGCCCAAGTTTCTTTAGATGTTCATTTGTCTAATTTGTATGTTGTATAGTTATATATTATGTTACATTATACATTATGGTATATGTATTATATGTTATGTGTGCATGTATGCATATATGTTATATATAATATATTAAGTTCTCTATTATGTTTTATATAGTTATATAGTATACATATTAGCCAGTTTTATCAGGAATATATTTAATAAACTTTGATTTTAGAACAGCTCTGGAGTTGCAGGAAAGTTGGGAGATAGTAGAGAGCGCTGTCACATGCCCCACACCCAGTTTCCCCGCTGTGAACACCTTCCGTGGGATGGCACATTTGCCGATATTAATGAACCAGTACTGACGCCCTATTCTGAGCTACAGTCCACACGTCACTCTATTTCCTTGTTCCACCTATGGCCCTCACTGTCCCAGGGTCCCACCCCGGATGCCGCCGCATGGTTAGCCGCCAAGGCTCTCTGGGATCCTCTGGCTGAGGCAGGTTTTGCCTAGCATTCATTTTTGCAAATCCTCCTTCCAATTTATAATCTCCCTTTCTCATTTATGTGTGCTGTTTCCTGATGTATATGAAAAATAAACTCTATATTCGAATGGATCAGTCTTTTGTTCTGTGGTATCTTCTGCTGTATTTATTCTTAGAACGTTCTTCCCTACATCAGAATGGCAGAAATGTTTACCTATAGAGATTCTCACTGTTTCACGTTTTCACTTTTTATGTATATCTAATTCACCAAACCATATGGGATTTATTTTGGAATATGGTATGAGGGGGGTCTGATTTGCTCTTTTCCAAATAGTTACCATTCCTCTGAGCACCACCTCTTACAGAGTCCTTCCTTGGCCCCTTGATGTGTGACCCTCTGTTCCCTGTGAACGTTTGCTCTTCTGGGCTGCCCGCTCTTTCCCACGGCTACGCCGACCAGGCACCCCAGTGTGCTCAGGACTGTGTCAGTTTTAGCGCTGGCAGCCCCGGTCCTGGGCACTCTCAGTCCCGGGCAAACTGGGACAGTTGGTCACCCACCCACCACCCAGCGTTGCACCACTGCCATGCTGTCCTGCTTACTGTTGTACACCTTTTGTGGTCCCCCAAAGTGGGCTGTTTCTCTTCCATGAAATACAGAATATTTCACCAAATTGCAACATAAGAATCCTACGGGAGCTGCAATCCAGGGAAAAATAATTTGAGAGCAGACAGTGTTGCAGTATCGAGTCTCCTCCTGGGAACACGCAATGCCTCTGTCCAGCCTTCTTTATGTTTCTCGGTAAGACGCAAAGTTCTCTACACACAGGCCTCTACATCCAACTCATTCCCGGGCATCCTAAAAGTTTACACTGCTATATTAAATGGCAACTTTTCCCCCATATTTGCTAAATAATTTTTAAAATATTCCATGTATATTCACACAGTTTTTCCTAGATGCACCAGTGTGAATATGCATGTGCTTTATTGATCAACCACAGCCTTTTTTTCTTTTGCTTTTTCTGGGTTACCCTAAGTCTTCTCCACTTCTACCCCTGCCCCACATCTCAACAAGCTAGTGGGTATCTTTTTATTTTCCCCATACGTAGATACGCCTAGATAGACAGATGGATAGATAGGTAGATACATAAAGTAGGTATGTTTTTTGGATCATTGACTGTTTGGAAAAATGAGATGATATTACATGCATCTTTCAAATCTTTAATGCATGTCGCCCGATTGCTTACCATGGCTGTAATGCTAAATATTTCTCCCATCAATGTGATGGTGCCTGTATGGGAAAAACACTCTTCCTCCCGGGTGCCTCCTGACTCTCACACCACTGCCACACAGCACTCCTGACACCAGATGTGAGGGTGCTCCACACACCAAGCCATCCTCCGACCCCAGCTGGGTGTCCCACAATTCAACTCTGTTCTAACGCTGACTACTCAGAGTGGGCACCACAGCTCACAAGTTAAGGGCTAAGTCCCACGAGACCATCCTCACTGCAGATGCTAGCTGAAAAGGCCCAGGTTGTCACCTGCACTTCTGACTGACCAGCTATCAACTGGGGTACCCATGACCCCCTCCCTGAGTGTGACAATTTGCTAGAATGGCTCACAGAACTCAGGGAACACTTACATTTATGGGTTTATTAAAGGGCATTATAAAGGATGTGAAT